TCTTGAAAAAAATCCAATTAAACCATTTTATTCACTTAAACACTTAATTACTTAGCAGCAATTACGCTTTATTAATGAAACACTACGAAAGACACCATATAAAAAACGTGCTTCTAGTGCTTTAAAACAGTGATAGGCAATACACATTAAGTTATAATTAAGTGCGATTCTGGCAGCATATACATAAATATAAAATAAATATAAATACGCCCCAAATAGTTTAATTCGTATCGTGTTTCATATTTGTCATACTTGGAGTTAACTACTTTGAGGGCAATGAATCTATGAGGTCAAAATTTATATGCCAAAATCCCCAATAATATATCAAATTTATTTCCATTTTTACTATTTGAAATTTTCATAACTTTGATTTTTATTCACTTTTATAAAAAATTTTAAAAACGCCCAAAGCTGCTTTTATATACATATTTTTTTACGAAATTTAATTTTAAAGTAAACACCAAAGTTAAAGTGTTTTAAATAAAGATATAAAATTTCTCCAATTATATTTTTCTTCTTTATCCCATTCATGGTAAAATTTGTACCGCTTTATAAAAACCAACACAAAAGCTTGAAGTTGAAAATCAAAAAATGTGACAAAGCTGAACAAGTGAGTGAGTGAATGAATGAATGAATGAATGTCTGAAAGACAAACAGATAAAAAGTGAATGTTTTTTTGTTTTACAAAAGCCTTACAGTATACTTTATTTTAGGGGTAGTTATCATAGATTTATTTTGTTCGTTTTTGTTTAAAATATTTCCAAAAAAATGAAATATATTTTTAAGCTCTTGAGGGAATTTGTTATCTTGTGTAGAGGCAGTGGCGTGTAATTAGTTGGATATATTTAGTGTAATAAACATAAGGTAAATAAAATTGATTTAGATATGCCGCCATTACACCTAGAGAAAAATTATTAAAATATTACACAAAATTTCACAATATTATGCCAATTTTTAGTTATTGCAAACATATTGTGTTCATCATTTCAATGAAGCATTTATAAATACAATTACTAAAAACAAGTCTAGTCTATAGACTAGACGATAAACTAGACTAGACTAGACTACAGACTAGACTATAGACTAGACTATAGACTAGACTATAGACTAGACTATAGACTAGACTATAGACTAGACTATAGACTAGACTATAGACTAGACTATAGACTAGACTATAGACTAGACTATAGACTAGACTATAGACTAGACTATAGACTAGACTATAGACTAGACTATAGACTAGACTATAGACTAGACTATAGACTAGACTATAGACTAGACTATAGACTAGACTATAGACTAGACTATAGACTAGACTATAGACTAGACTATAGACTAGACTATAGACTAGACTATAGACTAGACTATAGACTAGACTATAGACTAGACTATAGACTAGACTATAGACTTAGACTATAGACTAGACTATAGACTAGACTATAGACTAGACTATAGACTAGACTACTACTAGACTAGACTATAGACTAGACTATAGACTAGACTATAGACTAGACTATAGACTAGACTATAGACTAGACTATAGACTAACTATAGACTAGACTATAGACTAGACTATAGACTAGACTATAGACGAAACTATAGACTAGACTATAGACTAGACTATAGACTAGACTATAGACTAGACTATAGACTAGAACTATAGACTAGACTATAGACTAGACTATAGACTAGACTATAGACTAGACTATAGACTAGACTATAGACTAGACTATAGACTAGACTATAGACTAGACTATAGACTAGACTATAGACTAGACTATAGACTAGACTATAGACTAGACTATAGACTAGACTATAGACTAGACTATAGACTAGACTATAGACTAGACTATAGACTAGACTATAGACTAGACTATAGACTAGACTATAGACTAGACTATAGACTAGACTATAGACTAGACTATAGACTAGACTATAGACTAGACTATAGACTAGACTATAGACTAGACTATAGACTAGACTATAGACTAGACTATAGACTAGACTATAGACTAGACTATAGACTAGACTATAGACTAGACTATAGACTAGACTATAGACTAGACTATAGACTAGACTATAGACTAGACTATAGACTAGACTATAGACTAGACTATAGACTAGACTATAGACTAGACTATAGACTAGACTATAGACTAGACTATAGACTAGACTATAGACTAGACTATAGACTAGACTATAGACTAGACTATAGACTAGACTATAGACTAGACTATATAGACTAGACTAGACTAGACTATAGACTAGACTATAGACTAGACTATAGACTAGACTATAGACTAGACTATAGACTAGACTATAGACTAGACTATAGACTAGACTATAGACTAGACTATAGACTAGACTGTAGACTAGACTATAGACTAGACTATAGACTAGACTATAGACTAGACTATAGACTAGACTATAGACTAGACTATAGACTAGACTATAGACTAGACTATAGACTAGACTATAGACTAGACTATAGACTAGACTATAGACTAGACTATAGACTAGACTATAGACTAGACTATAGACTAGACTATAGACTAGACTATAGACTAGACTATAGACTAGACTATAGACTAGACTATAGACAGACTATAGACTAGACTATAGACTAGACTATAGACTAGACTATAGACTAGACTATAGACTAGATTATAGACTAGACTATAGACTAGACTATAGACTAGACTATAGACTAGACTATAGACTAGACTATAGACTAGACTATAGACTAGACTAGATAGACTAGACTATAGACATAGACTTATAGACTAGGACTATAGGACTAGACTATAGACTAGACTATAGACTAGACTATAGACTAGACTATAGACTAGACTATAGACTAGACTATAGACTAGACTATAGACTAGGACTATAGACTAGACTATAGACTAGACTATAGACTAGACATAGACTAGACTATAGACTGACTATAGAAAAGACTATAGACTAGACTATAGACTAGACTATAGTTTCGACTATAGACTAGACTATAGTCTAGACTATAGACTAGACTATTGTCTAGACTAAACTATAGACTAGACTATAGACTAGACTATAGTCTAGACTAGACTATAGTCTAGACTAGACTAGACTAGACTATAGACTAGACTATAGTCTAGACTAGACTATAGTCTAGACTAGACTATAGACTAGACTATAAACTAGACTAGACTAGACTACAGACTAGACTATAGACTAGACTATAGACTAGACTATAGACTAGACTATAGACTAGACTATAGACTAGACTATAGACTAGACTATAGACGAAACTATAGACTAGACTATAGACTAGACTATAGACTAGACTATAGACTAGACTATAGACTAGACTATAGACTAGACTATAGACTAGACTATAGACGAAACTATAGACTAGACTATAGACTAGACTATAGACTAGACTATAGACTAGACTATAGACTAGACTATAGACTAGACTATAGACTAGACTATAGACTAGACTATAGACTAGACCATAGACTAGACTATAGACTAGACTATAGACTAGACTATAGACTAGACTATAGACTAGACTATAGACTAGACTTATAGACTAAACTATAGACTAGACTATAGACTAGACTATAGACTAGACTATAGACTAGACTATAGACTAGACTATAGACTAGACTATAGACTAGACTATAGACTAGACTATAACTAGACTAAGACTAGACTATAGACTAGACTATAGACTAGACTATAGACTAGACTATAGACTAGACTATAGACTAGACTCTATAGACTAGACTATAGACTAGACTATAGACTAGACCGATAGACTAGACTATAGACTAGGACTATAGACCTAGACTATAGACTAGACTATAGACTAGACTATAGACTAGACTATAGACTAGACTATAGACTAGACTATAGGACTATGACTATAGAACTAGACTATAGACTAGACTATCTAGACTAGACTAGACTATAGACTAGACTATAGACTAGACTATAGACTAGACTATAGGACTAGACTATAGACTAGACTATGACTAGACTATAGACTAGACTATAGACTAGACTATAGACTAGACTATAGACTAGACTATAGACTAGACTACTAGACTAGACTATAGACTAGACTATAGAACTAGACTATAGACTAGACTATAGACTAGACTATAGACTAGACTATAGACTAGATATAGACTAGGACTATAGACTAGGACTATTAGACAATTAGACTAGACTATAGACTAGACTATAGACTAGACTATAGACTAGACTATAGAACTAGACTATAGTACTAGACTATAGACATAGACTACCTAGACTATATACTAGACTATAGACCTAGACTATAGACTAGACTATTACGACTAGACTATAGACTAGACTATAGACTAGACTATAGACTAGACTATAGACTAGACTATAGACTAGACTATAGACTAGACTATAGACTAGACTATAAACTACTATGACTAGACTATAGACTAGACTATAGACTAGGACTATAGACTTGACTATAGACTAGACTATAGCTAGACTATAGACTAGACTATAGTCTAGACTAGACTATAGTCTAGACTAGACTAGACTAGACTAGACTATAGACTAGACTATAGTCTAGACTAGACTATAGTCTAGACTAGACTATAGACTAGACTATAGACTAGACTATAGACTAGACTAGACTATAGACTAGACTATCGACTAGACTATCGACTAGACTATCGACTAGACTATAGACTAGACTATAGACTAGACTATTAACTAGGTTAGTGGTTTGTGTTCTAGTCTGGTAGACCGGAGGTGGTGGTTCGATTCGAAGCGGACGACAGGCCCGATAGACGCCTAGGTTTATTTCTTCGGATTTGATGTATATAAATCCTTCTTTCAAAATAACTAAATGTGCTTTTTTAAACTCAATATAGAATTGTATTAATATGATCCATATTTCAATAATTATTACTGATGTTTTCTTTTTATCTTTTTTCTCTATTTTCAGGTGGAAAAGATCTTAAAAATTTTGTTACAGTCATATTGGAATAATATAAAATCTAAAAAAAAAATCAAATTGGAATTGAAATAAATTAAAGAGAATACATATGTATGTACGAACAAATATTTGAAATTTTTTAATTATAAAACTGTAAGAGGATTAATACTACATATCCATTCATTCACCTATAAATCATCCAATACTTGTTTGGCAAACAAACCACGAAAAGTTTACAAACATTCTTTGCAACAAGGAAATAAAATCCAGGAAAACAGCATGTTAAATAGAGAAAGAATAGGGAGTACAGAATTAAATACAAATTCCATTGATGTAATGAAAATGTGAATAAAAATTTTAATTTATTTAATTAGTGATTGTATTACAATAAATACTTTGCGAGATATTTGAGAACAAAAAAAAAAAAACAATGTCTAAAATTGATACATTGATTCCTGGTAAAACTGGTTATGATGTACAATGATTTTACACCCAGTTTCCAATAAAAGATATAAGATATAGAAATATTGAGGAATTCTGTAAAATGTTTTTTCACAAATATATTATTTTGCACTGCACTACCGAGAGACTGCATTATCAAATTTAAAAGAATTAAACATTTTATAAGTCATCAAGGCTATCTTTTTAATATCTCTGAAAATGGTGTAGTAATAATATGAGATTTTTACAAATTTAAATTCTAACAGATTTAATGAAAATACCAAACCCAAAACAATTTTAAATTGTCTAAAAAAACTTAAACACAAAATAAACGTAATAGTGACCAATTTAATATAAAATAAGTACTAGAGCACAGAATGAAGTGGATAGATGCTAGAGTAGATTCGTAATTAAAAAAAAAAAAATTAACATGAATTTAATTGGAAAAACTACAATAAACAAAAAAACCTGAGCAGCAACAGCCATTTGAAAATAGAACGTTACAGCAAGTGCTCTTGAGTTAATTATTAACGGTCTCGTAGATAGAGAGAGTGCGAGATACATAACAGTCAATACAATTTTACAACTAAATACACGCCACACAATAGAAGGTGTAACTGTGGGTGTAGCAAGTAGTAGAGGCTGTGTGTTTGTGTGAGCTTACAGACGAATATTAAAATGGAGTATTTCTTGCGTGAATATGCGGCACGCAGTATATTGCCTCATTTGAATATGGCAGCTAAGAGTATAAATAATGAAAAAGGCAACAGCAACACGAACATAAACAACAACAATGACTACTATCATGAAGCGATAAACACAACTGCAACAACATTAATTGAGAGTGTTAGCAACAACTATAACAATAGTTTTATTATAAACCCAGGAGATTCTGGTGAAGGAGGAGGAGGAGAAGGCGTCGTTGGTGGAGTGGGTAGTGGCAGCAACAGTGATAATTTATATTTTATACAACCTCAACAACAATTGCTCGTGGATGTTTTTAGTAGTCCTGGCAGCAGCAGTCAACATAATGTGGGTGTTGGCAATCAATATGAAGATTATATTGAATATTTGAACAACGACACTTCCTCGCCGGCCTCACAACTAATAGCAAGTACGCCATCCTCATCATCGCCCGCCCTACATTTGTTGGCCTCTCTGGCCAGTGTTACCACCACCACAATATCCTCTATAACCCACCAAATAAAAGAACAGACAGAAGAATCTTTTCACGACTACATCAACAACCATTTCCTCAACAACGAAACAGCATATGCATCCTTTTCCTGCGATGGTGAATCACAAACATTAAGTGCTTTAAATTCCTCCCTGGTTGATGGTGACAATGGCAGTGCTGCTGCTGGTGGTGATGATGGTGATGAGGCTTTATCGAGTGTTTACTTTAAGACCGCCGTCTATTTATTGTACATTCCAATTTTCGTGTTTGCTCTTTTGGGCAACGGCACCGTCTGCTACATCGTCCAGTCAACGCCACGCATGCGCACCGTTACAAATTATTTTATTGCCAATTTAGCTGTGGGTGATATATTGATGTCTCTATTTTGTGTTCCCTCCTCATTCATATCGATATTCATTTTGGGCTATTGGCCATTTGGCATAGTGCTGTGTCATCTGGTCAACTATTCGCAAGCTGTGTCGGTGCTAGTGAGCGCTTATACATTGGTGGCCATATCAATAGATCGTTACATTGCGATAATGTGGCCGCTGCGACCGCGCATAACAAAGAGGTAAGTGAATGGGACTCGTTTTTTTTTATTTGTTTCTTTAAAATACATACTAGTGTTGCAAAAAAAGTTTATTTTATTTAAGCTTTTGTATTTATATTAAATTGTTTTGATCGGTTGTAAACAAAGGTTGTATAAAGATGTAGGAAGGGAACGCCAAATATTTCTTGCCAGAACCCGAAATGAACTAGTCCACATATTCAAAGTACATAAATGTTTAACTGCAAAATGAGAACGTTTAATTAGTTTCTTGTAAAATACATAAATTTAATCATATTTTGTCACTATATCATTGAGACTGATAATGTAAATTGCTAAAAAGTCGCTTGAAAACTATTTAAAATTAATTTTACTTAATTTTTTTGAACAATTCATTAGAGCTTGTTTTATTTTGTATATGCTTTCTATTTAAAATAAATTACCACGAATTTACTACAGTTACTATTTACATTGTGTTTTATAAATTAAATTTAGCGTAAAATTGGTATTTATTTTCGCTTTTCCTTTTAAAGGTACAATTCTACAAAAATATCTACTAAAGCTTTTGCAAAAATAAAAATTCTATAAAACATATTCAGCCATGATATCCTTTAGAATAATAATGTATACTACGAGCATTGTGTTTTCCTGGTATTTAAATAATAGCATTTTCGTTATCTTTCCATTAAATCTTTATTTCTAAAAAATACTTATGTACGTATTGAAGTTTTTTTTTTTATCGATTAAGTATAAGGTCATTTTCATTTCTGGTAATTAAAAAGGGTTATAATTGAACAGTTATAATTAGAAAAATGTGCAATACTTCCTTCTATTCATTTATTTAGAAAGTTAATTTGTTAAGCAGGAAACAAAACATCTGTTAAGTTCTAGTTCAGTTCTAGTTAAGTTCAGAAAAGTTAAAATTAAGAAGTTTTATATAGAAACACAATGAAACACAAAAACAAAATGTAATATATATTCGCATGTACATATGTACTAACCAAATCCTGCAGACAAGACCAATGGCTTCGCGGGATTAATCTTAAATTCAAATGCAAATGTGTATAAAGTTCTAGTTCATTTCTAGTTCAGTTCTAGTTCAGTTTCAGTTCTAGTTCAGTTCTAGTTCAGTTCTAGTTCAGTTCTAGTTCAGTTCTAGTTCAGTTCTAGTTCAGTTCTAGTTCAGTTCTAGTTCAGTTCTAGTTCAGTTCTAGTTCAGTTCTAGTTCAGTTCTAGTTCAGTTCTAGTTCAGTTCTAGTTCAGTTCTAGTTCAGTTCTAGTTCAGTTCTAGTTCAGTTCTAGTTCAGTTCTAGTTCAGTTCTAGTTCAGTTCTAGTTCAGTTCTAGTTCAGTTCTAGTTCAGTTCTAGTTCAGTTCTAGTTCAGTTCTAGTTCAGTTCTAGTTCAGTTCTAGTTCAGTTCTAGTTCAGTTCTAGTTCAGTTCTAGTTCAGTTCTAGTTCAGTTCTAGTTCAGTTCTAGTTCAGTTCTAGTTCAGTTCTAGTTCAGTTCTAGTTCAGTTCTAGTTCAGTTCTAGTTCAGTTCTAGTTCAGTTCTAGTTCAGTTCTAGTTCAGTTTCTAGTTCAGTTCTAGTTCAGTTCTAGTTCAGTTCTAGTTCAGTTCTAGTTCAGTTCTAGTTCAGTTCTAGTTCAGTTCTAGTTCAGTTCTAGTTCAGTTCTAGTTCGTTCTAGTTCAGTTCTAGTTCAGTTCTAGTTCAGTTCTAGTTCAGTTCTAGTTCAGTTCTAGTTCAGTTCTAGTTCAGTTCTAGTTCAGTTCTAGTTCAGTTCTAGTTCAGTTCTAGTTCAGTTCTAGTTCAGTTCTAGTTCAGTTCTAGTTCAGTTCTAGTTCAGTTCTAGTTCAGTTCTAGTTCAGTTCTAGTTCAGTTCTAGTTCAGTTCTAGTTCAGTTCTAGTTCAGTTCTAGTTCAGTTCTAGTTCAGTTCTAGTTCAGTTCTAGTTCAGTTCTAGTTCAGTTCTAGTTCAGTTCTAGTTCAGTTCTAGTTCAGTTCTAGTTCAGTTCTAGTTCAGTTCTAGTTCAGTTCTAGTTCAGTTCTAGTTCAGTTCTAGTTCAGTTCTAATTCAGTTCTAATTCAGTTCTAGTTCAGTTCTAGTTCAGTTCTAGTTCAGTTCTAGTTCAGTTCTAGTTCAGTTCTAGTTCAGTTCTAGTTCAGTTCTAGTTCAGTTCTAGTTCAGTTCTAGTTCAGTTCTAGTTCAGTTCTAGTTCAGTTCTAGTTCAGTTCTAGTTCAGTTTTAGTTTAATTTCAGTTACGGTATACATAAATTCAATTACGGTATACATAGTACATAGTATAAAAACAATTGTTAAAATTTTTTCTTTGGTTTTTATATTCATAACAAAACAAAAGTTCAGGAAATTGGTACTTCAGGACAGAAGAAAAGTATAATATAATAAAGTGTAAATGAAAATTGTTTAAATAGTTCGCTTTAGTTTGAGTGTTGTAATATAAAGTACTACATAAAAATATAAAGTTTACAAGATGCGATTAAGGCATTGGGAAAAGATCAGAAAAGTTTGTTTTGCTATATTTATATCGCTCCTATAAATGTATGAAAAGTAAATATGTAGTTAGAGTACTCTGGAAACAAACTAACGTTTACTTTTTCTTCAATGAGAATTTTCTATATTGCCAAAGGTTTATGGTTTTCAGTAGTTTAAAAAAATATACATATATACATATAAGCTGACAAGCCTTTCAGACAGGCTAATATTTAGCATCCCACCTCACTGTGGGATATATAATTTTATTTTCATGGAATTCATATTTATGCTATTTTAGTTCTTTAAACTTGATTCTGATATAAATATATATTAGTATAATATCGTCTAATGACGGTCTTCTAAATGTTTAACTTTAGATGATATTTTAATTAATATTTTTATATACTAGCTAGAATCCACTGTAAATTCAAAAATAGTCATAATAGAGCATTTTTAACCCTTTTTCTATTCAGACACACTAATTCTAGATTGCCAAATAATTTTGTTCACCTAGATTGTCATTTGGAACCACATTGTATGTATTGAAAAATACATACAATGACCGAGAGTCAAACAATATCCTTGTCAATATATGTATGTATGTATGTATGTATGTATGTATGTATGTATGTATGTATGTATGTATGTATGTATGTATGTATGTATGTATGTATGTATGTATGTATGTATGTATGTATGTATGTATGTATGTATGTATGTATGTATGTATGTATGTATGTATGTATGTATGTATGTATGTATGTATGTATGTATGTATGTATGTATGTATGTATGTATGTATGTATGTATGTATGTAGTATGTATGTATGTATGTATGTATGTATGTATGTATGTATGTATGTATGTATGTATGTATGTATGTATGTATGTATGTATGTATGTATGTATGTATGTATGTATGTATGTATGTATGTATGTATGTATGTATGTCTGTATGTATGTATGTATGTATGTATGTATGTATGTATGTATGTATGTATGTATTAGTATGTATGTATGTATGTATGTATGTGGCTGTAGTATTTTGTTGTTATTGTGTAATTAGTGTAATATTGGTTTCTCACATTTATCCCTTTTTACACCCTATACCAACATCAGTGGTGATAGGGGATATATATATAAGTTTGTTATTACGTAAATACTTGGTCCTTATGAAATTATGAGACGACTTAGCTATATGCGTCTGTCCGTCTGTATATAAAACACTCACGTTAAAACGAAGAGTTAATAAATTAAATTATGAACAAAAAACTACCAAAAAATATGTTCTTTCATCTGCAGTTTTACAAAAACTACTTAGATAATCCGATTATTTTTAAGAGGCAATTTAAATTTTTTTTTTTTTTTTGTGAAAACGCATAATAGATGCAGATGACGTATCCCCGTAGGCAATTTTTTCTCAGAAACAAAACTACTTACTTAACTCCATATTCGTAATAAATACTTACCTAACTTCCTATTTGTAAGCGAGTGTGGTAAGTACTTGCTTCCAAAGTCATTCCCTTGTTAAAATAATGATTAAAAATGCTATTGGAAGTAAATTTACTTTTAAATTTGATAATATGTGTGTGCAACCAGTTTAAGCAAAGAGGGTATATACGATTCGGCTTAGGCGAATATATTTTTTTTGTATTAAAACATGTAATATTTGATTAACATTTGTTAAAACAAATATTGAAAATTTGATGAAATAATCAAGACACATTTCGTGACATCAAACAATGCTTCACTGGTAAATACTCTTCCTTTGTCATTGACATCATTTTCGATTTTGAACAATGATGAGTGTGTAGAAAAGGCTCATTGAAGTGTTGAGTAAATATTTATTAAACAATTTGGATTGACGTCCTTTTTTCCTCACACACACACACACACACACAATAATTTGTATTGTTTTTTTAGCTACTAAATACTTGTTGGCTGGATGGATTTCATCACTTGTTAGGGAACCTTAAACATTTTATGCTGTGGGTGCAAATTTGTGTCACTGTTTGTATTATGTTTGTTTTTCCTATATGGATGTGAGAGTGATAATAAATATTAAATTACGAAAAAATTATAAAAAATTTAAAACATTTAAATTATAAAACTCAGTAGTTTTAGAACCAAACCTAGAATTATGTCATGAACCTTAATATTCTTTTACACAAATACTAACGAAATAGCATAAACAAGTTTATTTTCTAGTTCCAACTTAATTTGTACCACTTTATACCCATTAAACTTTACTTTTAAGAATTTCTAAAGTAATGACCATTCATGTTTGTCTCTAATGAGTTTTTAGAACAGATACTAAATCAATTCCCAGAAAGCTACTGGAAACATTTAAATTTGAAACATTTCCAAAGATGTAATACAAACTGAATATTCATTGAAATAAATAGAATTATAAGAAGAACAAAACTCTTTATGATGTTTATGGTGATTTGATACTATATAGGTATTTGGGTCAATTATGAAAAGATTTTTCCACTGATAGAAATGAAGTTGTTATTCACTTAAGTAATTGGAGC